ACTCTAATCATTCCCCTGATCAACCCTTTGATCTACAGCTTGAGGAACAAAGAGGTGAAAGGTGCCTTGAAAAGACTCTTTAAAAAATGATGTAAGCTTTCTCTGTAATGACCAATGTAGTGTATGATTCCAATGCATTATCAAATCCAAATAAATATGTTATATTTTTTCAACTTTTCCCTCATTCTTCTCTTATTTTTAGAGAGAAAAAATAGCATTTCTCTTAATATGCAGAGAATGGTTTTTGCATATCCACTGTTGCCAGATATGCAAAAAGTAATCCATTTTAGAGTAAAAATTTAAATTTGGGCAGGAATAAAGTATGAAAAGTATTTCTACTCATGTTTCCACTTTTTCTTGCCAAGACAGACAATACTTGTGTCCTGGGAACAAGATTGTTTTAGAGGAACATGTCATAATTGGGGAAGAAATGATTAATCAAGGTGACCATATCTATAATCTGGGGCTCATTCGCTTGTTGAGTAGATTATTTTCTTCATTGTTTGTATTGGTATGTGTGGATGGGTGTGGAGGTGGTGGACTGCAGTGTCTGCATTCTTGTAATGTTACCAGTGGTGCAACGGAAAGAGAAGAAGAAGGCCTATATGAATGATTATTCATTTTTCCAAAAGTCAAAATCATCAAGATCATTTATTACTGGTTGAAGAATATAAAAACCATTTTATAATTCTTCAGAAACAACGGTCAGGAAGAATTAAACTCTATGGCATACTGTTCAGTAAAGTTCAAAACAAGAATTTCTTGGACAAGTACTCCAAGTTCTTACAGGGAGCACTACAAAGCAGATTAGAAGAAATTAGATGTAGATTCATACTTTGTAGAGGGACGGTAAGGTCACACAGAGGATAGAGTACCAGACCAGGGGTCATAAAGACCTGAGTTAAAATGCAGCCTGAAAATGCTTAAAGGCTGAGTCACCCTGGGTAAGTTCTTTTAACCTTTGCCTCAGTTCCCTTATGTGTAAAATAGGGGCAATTATAAAACCTACCTCCCAGAATTGATGTGAACATTACGTGGTGAAATAATTGTAAAGTACTCAGCATATTGCTTGTGAGAGGGTAAACATCATTTTAATGTCCATTAATATTATCATTATCATCATCATCATCATCATCACTATCATTATTGACTATTTTCCACAAGAAATGTAAATGTAATTATGAACTAAATGTAAAAGTCATATCATGAAATAAAACCAGAAGAGAACAACATCTTAAAACGTGTGTGGCTGTCAAAAAAGCAGTTGACAAAAACCAAGCATTCTCTCCAACACACTGTGATAGGCATTGAACATACAAAGACAAAAATGAAGAAATGAATGAATATTGAAAAGAATAAAAAATGAAGAAAAAACATGGTCTTGTGTGCCAGAATCAGGACTCGAGCTTAGACCTTCATATTCTAAAGCCAGTTTTCAATCCACTGTACAACACTCATCACATGCTTTTCTTTCATTTCCAATCATAGGTATCCAAATAATTGAGGTGGAGAGAGTGTCTTGTTTCTCTAAAGAAGCTTCATGTTCACTGCATTGGGTTTCACCAACAATGGGCACACTGGACACACCCAATAAATGTGTGTGGATGGTGATGATGTTACTAGATGATAATCTAATGGCATTATTAGAGGGATCACTGATCACTTCATAAAGGTTGCATTATGTGCTAATGCAGCTCTTCCACATGCACAATGCATATACTTGGAAACTAATTGTGGTAATTCTTAAGGTAAATTACAAATTGGAAAGAAAAGCACAAGTAATTCTCATTACTATTAGAAGTGGTTGGATGGAACTATGTCATTTTTTTTTCTTAATGAGAATTGATAAGCATCTATGTATTAGGGAGTTTTAACTGACTTAGCAAACCTGCAATGAAGAAAAATGTTAAATATAGTTCTCTGCATAAATGTAGTCAGTACTTCACAAACATTTCAATCATTATCAAATTTGAATACATTCCAATACCGTAAGTCAGAACATACAGCTATTTTGCTCTCATGCATTCTTTCATCAGTGCTCAGGGAAATAATGTTCTATATATATGGACATACTTTGTCAGGAAATGAATTGTATGGTTAGTAAAACAGAAAAACTTATAGTTCTCCATTTTAAATGTGTATTTTCTTTTAATAATAAGAATTAGAAAGAAACAAGTAAAAGTCATAAACTTGGGTTTAATTTTTGTCTTTGGGGAAAACAAAGAATATCAATACATAAAATGAAACTAATGTCTTTTGTGAGCTTCCACCCATATCTTTTGTTTGTTCACTTCCCTCCCCTATTATTCTTTTTAGATTCTAAATCATGTGTCCTATTTTATTCTTTCATAATCTCTTCCAATTCATCACTATCTAAAGACCACTGATTAAGCAACTGCTATGCTTTGGACTGGAATAGGTACTGGAAGTTAGAAGGAAATAGAAAAAAAACTCTCCCTGCCCTGAAGAAACTGGTGTTTCTTGACATGCATAATGCTGAAAAAAGCAATATTCTTAAGCGACAATAGGCAAATTATAGATCTCACACAATGGACATATTAACCGAGAACATTGATGGACTGGGTGAGTCCAGTTGGAGGCAGCATTATATTTTCTTGAGGTTCTTTAAGTATAAGGCTTTCAGAAAAGTGGGAAAACTATTTATCAGAGAGCACATCAGATCCTTTTAGTTTATGTATTGTCCAAGCCAGACATCATCTCTCATCCTCCCATAATTGAGGAGTACTGATTTGGGTATCTAGTTGTACAGTGTATAGAATTCTGGTCCCAGAATCAGGAAGACTCATCTTCCTTAGCTCCATCCTGGCCTCAGAAACTACCTGCATGATGGTTGGCAATTCACTTAATTCTATATGCGTCAGTTTATACATCTGTAAAGTAGCAGGAAGAGGAAATTGTAAACCACTTCAATATCTGTACCAAAAACAAACCAACAAACAAAAGGTCGATGGAATGAAGAGTCAGCTAGGATTAAAAATGACTGTATTTATCTTACTTAAATATATCTTTGTGAGGTTAGACTGCATCTTTGTCTTTGATTTTTCATTTAGCTAAGCCAAGCTTCCATCTCAAGTTACAGAAATTCACCACAAAATTAGAATTTATGCAAAATGGAGTGGACTGCCTCTAGAGTTATATGTTCTGTTTTTCTGACACTGTTGTGTTCCATGTTTCAAAGTTCTGCAATATCACATGAATAATATTGAAATTTAAAAAAAGATTACTTCTTGTTGTTCACACATGTTCAACTTTTTGTGACCCCATTTTGGGAATTCTTGCAAAGATGCTGGAGTAGTTTGTTGTTTTCTTCACCAGTTCTTTTAAAGATGAAGAAACTGAGGTAAACAGAGTTAAGTGACTTGCCCATCGTCTCACAGCTAGTAAGAATCTGAGACCAGATTTGAACTCCAGGCTCTACTTTCTATACACAGTACCACCTAGGTACCTCCATGAAATGCCATTTTGTCACAAACACAGATTTAATCAATTGTAGAAATATTAATAACTCAAGTGTAGGTTGAGCCAATATAACAAAATCATAATTATATCCAAAACTATTTATATATTCAGTTTCATACCAGTGAAACTACCAAATAAGTGTTATATAAAGCAAGGGAAAATTATAATAAAATTCTTCTAGAGGGACAAATGGTCAAAAATATCAATGGGATCTATAAAAAAGTAAAAAAAAATAGTAGCCTACAAGTATAAAATTTCAAACAATTTTACAAAGCAGTAATCATCGAAAAAATCTGGTACAGGCTAAGAAATAAAGTGGTGGAGCAGTGGGATAGATTAAGTACACAATGCACAGTACTAAATGACCATAGCAATGTAGTATTTAATAAAAACAAAATTGGAAGCTTTGGGGGTAAGAATCCACCATTTACAAAAATTACTAAGAAAACTGCAAAACAGTTTGGCTGAAAATAGGCACAGACCAACAGCTCATGCCACATAACAATGCAAAGTTAAAGTGGTTTATGTTGTAGACGTAAGGGATAATTTTATAAGTAAATTGAATAAAAAAAAGAATAAAAAAAAGTTAATTTCAAGGATAAGGGAAGATTTTTTTGACCAAATAGGAGAGTATCAGGGGAGGTGAAATATCTAATTTTGATTTCATTGAATTAAAAAAAAGTTTTAAACAAATGAACCAATGAACTAAAAATAAATTGAGCATAAATATTGTATCACAATTTGATTTTTTTAAATAAAAGCTTCTATTCTCAAATATGGAAGGAATTGAATCAAATTATTAAAATAAATGTTTTTCTCTACTTAATAAACTGTCAAAGGATATTTATAGTGAGTTCTAAGATGAAGAAAACAAAGTTATGAATATTTAAAAGAAAAATGTTAATAACTCATAATTAGAGAAATGAACGTTAGAACAACTCATTATTTCTCACTCATATCTATTAAATTGGCTGATATGAAAGAAAAGGAAATTAATAAGTGATGGAGGGGATATGGAAAAAATAAGTACACAAATTCACTCTTTGTGTGCTTATGAACTTATCCAGCCATTCTGGAGAACAACTGGGAACTATGCTATTATAAGATTAGACTTGATGATCTTGATACCATCATAGTAGTCTCCACTTATGATGGGCTGTAATTTACAGAATCCAGCCATTGAAAAGTACTGGAAATTACAATTTTTAAGGTTAATAAAGCTGTGTTCCCAAAAATCATACCCCGCCAACCACAAGTTTTTCATTTCTCTCTGCAGCTTTGTACTCCAAAAATCCACCATGTGCTCTAAATCTTGATACACATATTGGCCAGCGAATCTCAGATTCAGGACATTTGGTAGCATACCATCCATTCCAGGAGTAATAAACACAAGAAGAATACCTTTCCAGCTAAACTGACTCATGTCTCTCTGCTCCCCAACACATCACCACCATTACATGAGTTTTACTTTATGTTAATGTGTATTTTTCAATCGCATTAAGGATCTCCTTCTCCTTACTCACTCTGTATACACTACCTCAGTCTTCCCAATCACATTTCAATAGAGCATTACATTAAGTCAACCTCATCATTTTACATATTTTTCTTGGTGTATAAACATATTAAGTGTTTTTCCCCTAATTCAGGGTAGCCCAGTGACTTCGTCATAGACATAAATTAACTTTCCACACAAGGCCTTAATTTATTGACAGCTCCTTTTTGTACTGAAGGAAGATAGCATGTATGAATCCACTAAAACAATGTACAATAAAGGTATCCCATGTCATCCAAGCAGGGACTATCTTATGCCAGAGGACTGTCAAAAATATGTGCCCAAAAGAATCTAAAAATATTCCTATCTAATGATGATAGAGAAGATTCCAGAAAAATCTGGGGAAGATTTATATGAACTGATTAAAACTGAAGCAAGCAGTACAAGGAGAATATTGTACATGGTAACAGCAATATAGGTAATGACAATAAATTGTGAAAAACATAGCTATTCAGATCAAATATAATAATCCATGACAATTTCAGTGCTTTCATGCTGAAACATCCTATCTACCACCATAGAGAGAACTAATGAAAACTGAGTGAAGATTAAAGAATATTCTTTTTCTTCTCCATATATGTATATATTTATATATATTTATGTTTAGTAAAATGGTTAATATGGGAAAATGATTTGCCAAATTTCACATGTATAATGGTTGTCATATAGATTTTTTTTCAGAATTCAGGGGAGTTGACTAGAGGGAGATAGGGAAGTTTGAGCTGAAAATGAAAATGTTCTTAAAAAGTTTAAAAAATAAATATATGTTCCTCCTTCAGAAAAGACTGGAGTCATGAAGGAAGAAAATATTCACCATTTTTCCAATATCTATTATAGGACAGCCTCTGTGCTAACCACTTTACAAATAATATCTCAATGGTTCCTCCAAACAATATGACTAGGAAGTACAATTATCTTAGTTTAAGAAACTGGGGCAGACAAAGATTAACATACATGACTAGGGTTACACTGACCTTAAGTATCTGAAAGAACTTTTGAACTTATCTGTTTCTGACTCTAGGTACAGAGACAAATTCACCGGGCCACTCAGTTACGTGGTAAAAATTTCATTTGTTCCTCACAACAATATTGACATCTCAAGGTTCTTATTAGGTCTATTTTACCAGAAAGAAAAATTGGCAGAAGGATATTATGTTCCTTGTCAAAAGTCAGAGTGCTAGTATATGAGGGTAGAGTAGAAATCAGTTTTTCTTAACTGCAGGCCAGTTCTCTATCCACTGCATCACCTAGCTCCTTCCAAAAGAACTTGTAATACTCTAAAGACAATCCAGCCAGCTCATCTACCCCAAGTTATTTTTGGTGGCTAACACTGAGTCCATTTATACCCATCTGTCCTAGAGATGCATCCAAAAAGGCAAACTCTCCATTTTGCACATTCATCTTTCTGTTATATCCTTTTATGCTCTTGGTATTGTTCATCTACTTGGCTTATAGTATGTGGATGGTTAACATGAAGTGCTCTTGACTAGAGTCTTCTTGTAGAAGTCTGTGCAATTTCCCTGAGCATGATGCAAACATGGCTTATCAACCACAAACAGAAGCCCAGAACATGATATAAGATTCATTAAATTAGTTAGTCCAGGGACTTTTTCACTTATTACTGTCTGTGAAATTTCCATGACAAGTTCATACAAAATTAATTAAACATTTCCCTCGCTTCAGGGACAAGGCCTCATGGGGACAGAGGAAACCATAAAGTCTGACTCGAGCAGTTGGCAATACAGATCACATGAACAAGCTACAGAAGATCCTACCTTCCAGATAAGCAGGTAACACTCTTCTTTGTTAGTGCACTTCCAGGGCAGCAGAGGTCAAAAACATGGAGTCCAAAATTCTCAGTTCAAAAAGTCAATCACTATGTCCATTGTGGGAGTGAATAGGAGAATTGTGTGGTCTTGGGTAGAATTTGATGACATTGAAATGCCATAAAATTTTTCAAGGAAAGCCATCAAATTACAGTTCCTACCCCTTAAGAGATGTTATAGAAACTTTTTCTGCAATCAGAGATATCAAATAGTTTTTGTCAAGGAATATTGATAACTGGTAATAATAATCACTAATAAACATATTATTAGTGTGATCTTTCAGTCAATGCCTATAACTGAACAATAAGAAGCATTAAATTTTTTTTCTCACATCTCTTGGAACGAAATAAAATAAAAACAGCAAAACTGCTACCTAGTTCGACTTCATAATCTAGATTGACAAAAATTTACTCTCTGATAAGGCAAAGGCAAAGGAGACTTTAGATATTAAGTAGACATATGAAGTCACCCTGGATATCATATAATTAATCACTATATAAAGTAGACTACAATAGATACTGCATCTTTACCTTGAATAATTTAGGGAACTCCTAAAAAGGAAAATCCATCCCTCATCATTTCCTATCACTTTGCAACTGATAGTCATAGACAAGGGCCCAACACCCAGTCGATTACACAAAATTTTTGGAAATGTATTGGGTATGTTATTTATCCTGTCTCCACTTCCCTTCAAAACAAACTCGATACTTACTTCATCACTATCCCTCCATAAGGTGATCTTACATACACTATCCTACATTAGTATCTCATTATAATCTTTTGATCCATTAATTAGTTAACATATATTAAACATATCTATAATATTGTCCTGTTCCTTCACTTGGAGAAAGGTAGTATTATGATTTACCATTATGCAGAATAAAATCACATTCACTATTCTCTTGGGATAGGATATTTATAAAGTATGATATGATATGATATAATATGATATGATATGACACAATGTGACATTATATCAAATGACACAAAGTAATATTATTTCAATTTGAGTGAATTCATGACACATCGACTAAATGGATAAAATTACATTGCATTTGTGCTGGAAAATTCCTGCTCATCTCTATCTAACATATTTCTATCCATTAACTTCCTGGTTAGTTATGGAAACAGTACTCAAAGAAGGCTTCTTTCTTTTCTTCTCAGATTATATTTCTTGGATGGCAGAAATGATCAACCTGAATGAAACCCCAGGGGGCCAACTCACTGAATTCATTCTCATGGGCATCACCAACAGCCCTGAGATGCAGGGCCCCCACTTTGTTGTGCTTTTGCTAAACTACATGGTCATAGTTGTGGGGAACTTGGGCCTGATCATCCTAATCATTGTCGATTCCCATCTAAAAACCCCCATGTACTTTTTCCTCAGGCATCTGACATTTGTTGATCTTGGCTATTCCACATCTATTGGGCCAGAAATGATAGTTGGTTTCATAGAGAAGAAAAATATCATTTCTTATAATGGATGTGCAATACAGCAAATTTTATTTGTGATACTTATGGCCAGTGAAATTTTTATCCTTTCAGCCATGGCCTATGACCACTATGTTGCTATCTGTAAGCCACTCTACTACATGGCCATCATGTCAGATAGGGTATGTTGGCTCTTGGTGGCTGTCTCATACCTCTATAGCACCATCATATCTATGTTGCTCACAATAAAGATTTTTAAATCATCTTTCTGTAAATCAAATGTAATAAGATGTTTCTGCTGTGATGGTCTCCCCTTATTATCCATTACATGCTTAAACAGAAGTGACATTGAACTAATCACTATGATCTTTGCTTCATTTAACTTTGTTTCTTCCTCCTGATTATCCTTATCTCCTACATATTCATTCTTGTGACCATCCTCAGGGTAAATTCTTCTGAGGTCATGCACAAAGCCTTCTCCACCTGGGCCTCTCCCATCACAGGGGTGGTTATATTCTGTGGGACACTTCTCTTCATGTACCTGCAGCCCCAATCTAGTCATTCCTTTGAAACAGACAAAATGGCTTCTGTTTTTATACTCTGGCCATCCCCATTCTCAATCCTTTGATCAACAGCTTGAGGAACAAAGATGTGAAAGATTCCTTTTGGAGGCTTTTTAAAAAAAAAATCATATAAGCCTTTTCTTTAAGGCTCATTTAGTATATAATTCCATTGCATTATTAGAAGCAAGTAAATATGTATTAGATTTCTTTCAACTTCGCCCTGATTCTTTTGTCTTTTAGACACAAAAATTCTCTTAATATACAGTTAGAGAATGATCTCTGATTATTCGTTAGTGTTATTTAGTGGTCATCCTCAAATATATCCCAGTCTAGTGGACCATTTGAGTAAAGGGTTTTATTAGAGGATTAATATAAAATGTCTCTATAAAACAATTTATTTTATCATATACTATAGAAGTAAATAGCTTAATTTTGTTTTAAGCTTCCTTGCCTGGAAAATTAATTAACAAGCATTTAGATAATGCTGGTTCCAGGTAATATTCTAGGCATTGGGCCTACACGGATAAATTTAAAAAAAGAGTTCTTGTCATAAGTGAACTTACATTTTACTAAGGGAAACAATATGTACATAGAAGCCACACTATTCAACAGAGCAGCCAATCTCTTTTTGAATATCTCTTACTGTTAAGAAATTAATCCTTATTAAAACTTCAATTTTTTCTCTACGGTTTTCAATCATAGCTCCTAGTCTTCTCTGTGAAGTAGACTAAGTTTACTCCCTCTTCTTTATAACAATTAGTCAAAATCTTAAATAAAACTTCCATCTCTTCCTCCAACTTCAGCCCTAGTCTTTTTTTTCCATTTTTGTTGTGGGGTGGAAAGAACACTGGGATATACAGGACATACCAACAGTCTTAGGGTAGATGTAATTTACTAAAGCTTAAAGTGAATCAGACTTTTGGTGCATTCTATACAGTTAGAGAACCTTGACTTAAATAAAGGTCAATTTCTTGTGACTTCTGATATATGGGGAAATAAGTTTACATTCTCTGACTCCCATTCATCTATAAAATTTGAGAATTTGATGACATAAATTTTAAGTATTATTTCACTTAAAATTCTATGATGCCATGAACCTATTCTTTGTGCTAACAGCACAGTCTTCAACCAGGACTCACATCATGTTCTTCTTTAAATTCATTTTCACTTAAATACAAAACCAGAACAGAAAAAAAAAGTACATTACCATTTACACAGCAAAACATAAGAGAGGGATTCAATATAAAACAATAAGTTTCCATTTGTAGTAAACCAATATAAAATACTATACATTGCTTTCAAAGCTGCTCAGTTTTTTTTTTGGTTCCTTATACGTTTTCTTTTGTTCTCTGCCGTGCATTCTTTACTTTATTTATGCTATTTACTGTACATTCACACACATATACATATACACACACACATTCATATGTGTGTATATATATATATATGTATGTCTACATAGACATATATAGATATAGGTATAGTCCTTATAGATAATTTATGGTTGCCTATGTATTAGTGAGTGTTAATTTACTGGTAATAGCTACAATGATGAAAGTGTTAATAAATAAATTTCTATCCAGAATTGTAGGCAGTTATTGGTAGCCATTCAGATCATTATCAAAACCCAATATTTTCCAGCACCACAAGTCAAAACATACAATTAATGTTGTAATCATGCATTTTGTAATCAGGCACCAGGGAAATGATTGTTTAATACATATGGACACACTTTTAATGGAAATGAGTTTTATGGTTAGGAAAACAGAAAGACTTAATAGAGTTAAACTTGAATGTCCGTGTTATACTTGAATTTTCCTTTAATAAATGGAATAACAATGAAACTTAAAAGCCATCAAATTTTTCCTATACTTATTGTGATTTGCAAAATGTTGCATATCAATCCATAAGATGAAACTAATGACTTTTGGGAGCTCCCATTCATGTCTTCTTTTTTTTTTTTCATTTTTCTCCCCTATTTCCCTTTTTTTTTAGATTGAATGCCCTCTCTCCTTCTTGATTAACCCTTCGAATTTACAATTATGTAGTGGTCACATATAAAGGAACTGCTATAGGCTGGGGGGCTGGAATAGGTACTGGATATTAGAAGCTGATAGCAAAACACTCCTTACCTTCAAGAAAATTGTTTTCTACTGGGAGTAATCAATGCATGCATAATGCCCAAAAGGAGCAATATCTTTAGGAGACAAAAGGCAAACTGTAGAAATCACACTAGGCCTATGATAACCAAGAATATTGATGGAATAGGGAGTCCAGATGAGGTGAGTATTATGGTTTCTTTAGATTCCCTAAATAGAAAGATATAAGATAAGTGAGAAAACTCCTTATCAGAAAGGATGTAAATTCCTGTTGCTTCAAATAATGGAATGGGAGAAAAATATGAGGTCATGTCAGAATACTTTATTGTGGGAGTCACACATCTTCTCCCATACCACTATATATTAGGGGTAATAACAACAAGAACACAGGTGCTCCATGAGCCACCATCACACTTCCATAAGTGGAACCATTGGTTACAGCAAATGGAGAAGTTTTGAATATTGTGGATAAGTTCAATTACCTTGGTAGCATAGTTTCCAGGAATATACAGATTCATAATGAGGTCAGTGCATGCATTGCCAGGGCTAGCTGGGTGTTTGGAAGTCTGTGAAAGAAAGTGTGGGAGAGAAGAGGTAATAGACTGATTACCAAAATGAAGGTCTACACAGCCATTGTGTGGACCTCATTGTTGTATACCTGTGAAACATGGACAGCATACCAACACCATGCCAGGGAACTGAACCTCTTCCATTTGAATTGTCTTAGGAAGATTTTGAAGACCACCTGACAGGATAAGATATGGGAAACTGAGATCCTTTCTTGAACTCAAGTGCCAAACACTCAGAGGGCACAACTCTGATGGGCTGGCCATGTTCTTTGAATGCAGAATGTACACTTGCCAAAAAGATTGTTTTATTGAGAACTCACACATGGCAAGCATTCACATGGTGGTCAGAAGAAGCAATACAAGGCAAGAACTCCCATTATGGCACGCGCGCATCAAAGAAGGAGTGTTCTCTATGAACAAAGCAGAATTGAAACAGCTCACCAGATATGGAACTTTAGAGAAACCACCCCAAATGTTCACAATGACTATTTGTAACCGATTTGTGGTAGAAGATTAAAAATTTGTCTGATTAGTCACAGTCGGACACACTGAAACTTGACTCTAGCATAGGGATGTCATTTTGGTCCTCTTTGAGAACAAATTACAACAATCAACTATTAGGGCTAACTATTTGGATGTCAGGTGGTACAGTGGATAGGAGGCCAGACCTGGATTCAGAAGACCAGGAGTCTTCTGGGCTTAAATCTGGTTTCAGACACTTAGTGTGTGACCTTAGGAAAGTCACTTAGCTCTGTTTGCTTCAGTTTCCTCACTGATAAAATAAACTAAAGAAGGAAATGGGAAACCACTCCAGTATCTTCACCAAGAAAAACCCAAATAATGTCATGAAGAGTCAGAAATGACTGAAACTTGACTGAACACATCTTGTATATATTTTGTGAAGCTAGAATGGATATAGCCTCTATATCTCACTCACCTAAGCCAATCTTCTATCCATTAAGTGATATTAATTCACCACAAAGTTGGAGCAGTTATAAAATGAAGTGGACTGCCTCTAGTGTTGTGCCTTGTTCATCTGACACTATTGTCTTTCATGTTTCAATGTCCTATAATTGCTCCTGTTAAATTGTGATATTCAAAAACAGATGGCTAATGGTTTTTCTTATTGTTCAGTTGTTTACAACTCTTCAATATCAACTACATTTTACAGATGAAGAAATTGAATCTCAAGATGTGTTAAATAGGGGCAGCTAGGTGGTGCAGTAGAAAGAGCACCAGCCCTGCAGTCAGGAGGACCTGAGATCAAATCCGGGCTCAGACCAAACACTTGACACTTACTAGCTGTGTGACTCTGGGCAGGTCACTTAACCCCAATTGTCCCCTCAAAAAAAAAAAAGATATGTGAAATAAAGTATCAAAATCATCAAGTCTATAAAAATTGAGCACAAAATCAGAATCAAGTACTCCATATTAAAAATTCAACATTCAGTATGTTATCTCATGTAATAGGCTTCCTCTTAATTCTGGGAAATCTAGTTACTCATTGTAATCATGATTATCATAATCACATCATCATTTATCATCATTAGGGCTCCTCCTTTTCTTCCTCCTCTTCATGTTCATGAATTTCATCATCATCATCATCATCATCATCATCATTATCATCACCAAATACACATTTCACTAACAATTACTGTTACGCTCATCCACTGCATCAGGCACTATGGTAAGGACACAAAAATATCGAGGTCAGAATTGTACCATATTAAAGTATTTGTTTAAGTCTTAGTGAAAAAGAATGTGAAGTGAATATGCTGCTGGGAAGGAGTAGGATCTAAAATTAATCAAAGAGAAATCAAAAGTATATGTGCATTTGGAAGTCTATATTAATTCAACAATTAATCAGTAAATATTTAATAAGCACCTACTATGTGCCAAGTACTCAGCTAAATAATCTCTGCCATCAAGGAGGTGACAATCTCATGGAGGA